AGATTCGAGACCGAGACCGAGACCGAGACCAGCCCCTTCAAGGCGGACCGAGACCGAGACCAATATGGTCCGAGACCGAGACCGAGACCGATACCGCTGATAATAAATAACAATAGTCGAAATAAAAAAAACAAGACACGTTATTATAGTTGAAAAATGTAACCTTTCTATTCACAAAGAATACAGACCAAAATTTTGACCAATGGCAGTGTTGACAAATTGATACATGACACCTTACTTGAGCAAAAAGTAGTTACACTTAAGAAATATGGGCTTTGACGTGTTGTCTACACCCAATCGTGACAAAAGTAAAAAGTTAAAGGTAGATGTTTCATCTGTTATAGGAACTCGGATCCTAAACTCCACAGTCACCCCTTGGTTTCAGCTATGACTTCTAACGGATATTTAAAGATGCAATTTTAATTTTACATTGCCTTTTTTTTCTTAAAATAAATTTAGGACTTAACTTCTAACAAGACTTGTGTACTTGATTTTAAAAAATGGGAGCTAGAAAATGTTGAATTAATTTTTAAATTTTTGTCATAGAATGTGGCCTTGTACATGTAGACCCGCAAGTTGCGAGGTGGTAGCCAGAATGTGCCAGATATGGATTTTTAATTTTTTTCTGAACGGGATTTTTAATTTTTGAGGAATAATGGGGTACTTTAAAATGAGCAGCCAGAAAATGGGGTCTCATCATACAATCTCATGGCAACAGTGAGTGGTAACTGGTAAGAGTGTGTGAGTTCAAAGCTGAAAAATCAGGTAGAAAAATTTACTTTTTCTTCAAAATACTGTCCCAAATTAAAGAGAACATTGTGTGGGGTCGAAAATATAACTAATTTGAAGCACCTCATTTATTATCAGAATACAAAATGCAAAGTGATTACGCCCACAGGGGTGGGCTAAACTACACAATCCCCGAAAATGGTTGACCCTTATTGCATAAATTGTTACAAGTTTATACTTTGCTTTATGTGGCCGACTCAACAGATAAATGCCGAACTTGTTCCAAATCGTTCAGTGACTGGTACTGCTGCAGTTTTACATGTACTTTGGGGACTTTCCAACGTGCAGTCGAGTCCAAACCGACCGCGATATATAACAAGCTTGATCTACGGGCTAGCAAATGTTTTAAATAACAACGGTACTGAACGAAGTGAACACAAAGTAATCGATCGAGCTGTAAAAGCTACATATTGCCGGTCTCGACCCGAGACCAGCCAAAATATCGAGACCAAAGGGGACCGAGACCGAGACCAAGACCGAGACCACAGCTTCCGAGACCGAGACCGAGACCGAGACCAGCAAAAAGTGGTCTCGAGACCGGTCTCGAGACCGAGACCGGTCTCGAGACCTACAACACTGCTGCTAGCGTTATGAATGCGCGCGACTTGGTTACCAGCGAAGCAACCAACCCCAGTAGGCTGGTTCCAAATAGTCGACTAGCGTAGTCAACCAACGTCGACTAGACAGAGTTCGGGCAAACGTTAGTTAACCATTGGTCAACTATAGTCCTTGCGCGAACTTGGCCAAGAATGATCCTAACTGTTCAATCCGCTCCGTGCACAAGTACCCCATCAACGGCCAGAAAAGGAGAGTTGGGGGTGATCTAGACTGGTTCCCGATCCATCCACTGCGTATTTCGAATGTCTCCAAAGTTATTGGAGGCGGAGATTAGTCTCGGAGACCATTGCAAGTTGAATTCGAATGTATTCGCGCGCCGACGACGCCTGACGCTCACGCGAAGACGCGGTTGCTATAGCTTTTACACACTCAGGTAGTCGTGCGTACTTTGCGCACGCAGTACAGTACGCGCACGTTGTGTCCCCCGTCCACGGAGCTCTCAAAAGAGGTGAAAACGCGCCCTCTTTTGGTCGCGCACGGAGCCCATAGTATTTCCCATTCCCCGTGGGCGAATGGGACTTTGAATGGGAGTAATAACGAATGTCACGTGATGTGAGTTCCACCAATTAAATGACAAGGATCTGTATGTCGGTTATAATTATACACTGAAAACTTTATTCAGTCAATCGCTGTGAAAAAGTCGTCAAATACCGGGAAAAGAATTAGTAATGCAGGTGATTAGTCAGATGACAATTTATTTTAGTGGCATGAATTATTTAAGGCCAAAAAAAAAAGTCTCCGGTTTCTGGTATGCGCGCGCGTCGCTGTAGCCATGCGAGTCGGCAAAATAAAAAAGTGTTTTTTTCAATGAAAGATGATGTCTCAAAACCGCCAAACTCACTGGTTTGACTGGAATCCTGCTGCTGCACAATTTTAACGTGTTTTTAGATGGAGTTATGGTCGAGAATAAGCTTTATGTGGCCTCTCTGGACTCCCAATCCCATATAGGCCTATTTGTTCTAAGTTTAGTCGGGCACCATTTGCAGTCATCAGACGACATTTGAAAAAAAAAAAAAAAGCCGCGTCGCCGCACCACTTTTTGAGCAAGCTCCATACCAGAAACCGGAGACTTTTTTTTTGGCCTAAGGGGCATGACCAATCTAAGTCCATGCAATACGAATCGTATCAATTGCTGGACAAATTAAAATCAGTGAAAGACTAATTTCATTGACGGACTAATACTCCGAACGTCAAAATGACTAATCTACATAGTCATGTAAATCAGATTTGACGAAGTATTTTTGACGTGACAAATTCAATGACTAACTTTCTACAACCCAACTTATTACAGAGTGAGCCCGCCAAAATATGCCGACAAATTGTTTGACTAATTACGTTCGGTGTGTGTTTGTACGTGACGCTGCACCGACGCCATTTTCTAGCCGTTATTATATCGCCGCTCGACGTACATGTACGTGCGCAGCTGATTTTCGATTATAGGTAAGCATTATCAAAATATTACTTAATATTATTTTGCAGATGCGAAATGTAGTCTGAATCACTGTGATTTTACTAGCTTGTATAACAGTCTATACCTAGACTCGATTGAATATTTAATGTGCTCAAAAGAAAGGTTAGGACTAGGCCTAAACAGACCGCTATGTAAAGTATACACGGTCACACCAGTATTCTATGGCTACGCACTGGAGTAAATTCTGTGCTTAATGCGATTGTGTATTTACCGTGCACCGTTCCCAAAAAGGTTATACTCGCCCAACTACTATAGTGATATTTAAACGAACCGGAATGTTGTAGATTTGACTTATGAGGGCAGTTAATTTTAAGGAAATTTTAGGGTGAACGACGATGAAGACAACAAAACACAACACGAAAATAGAGCTAATACACTGCGAGGCACCGTTAATGCATGACAAATTAATATTCTGGTATGACTAACTACATTTCTTGCATTACTAATTGAATTTCTTGCATTACTAATTAATTTTCCCGTATTACTAATTCATTTTCTCGCATTATTAATTAATTTTCTTGCATTACTAATCATTTCAGAAATTAGGTCAAATAAGACACTTTTTCAGGACTAATTATAATTAGTCAAAATGACCCATACATGACAAACTATCAATTAGTCAAATAAGACACTGCGCATGACTATTTTGTTTTAGTCAATTGACTAAATACAATTTTCAGTGTTATAAACAGGCACCAGGGAGGCCACACACACACACACCCACACACCCATACGTGAATGTGGAAAATGATACCTGTACACAAAGTAGCATCGAAATACGCAAAAAAACAGTCACTAAGACACTCAAATTACACTCTAATTTGACTCACCCGAACACATAGGGGTGAATAGCAATTCGCTTAGGCTGATGAGGCCTGGATGAACCCTCAGAATTCTGTAATCGTGTGATTTCTGGCAAAGTACAGTGTGTCACCGACGCATTTTCATTCGCCACAAACGGAAAAAAAGGACAGACAATGTGGAACCAAACAACACGGTAGACTATATTACAAACTAATGCCCGTTAAAACGTACAAATAGTCATCACTTTAACTAAGGTGAGTTTGTCATCGAATCAATAGAAAAAAAGATTCAATATAATCTGTAAAATGATGCTATATAATTATCCCCACCCAAAAATGCAGAAGTGTATATTGTCCTTACAAAAGTTGCAGGAACTAGTTACCTATACAGGCGCGGGAACACCACATAAAAGTACAGAGTAAACCTACAACTCCTGTTACTATGCGACAAGGCGCAGCAGAATAAACGGTTTAAAGCCTGAGTGTATGGACTACAAATGGGGCAGATACCCTCAATAATATGCAACAATCGTCCTTTTTAACCCGAGTTACATTTGTCCACAACCATTTTGCAATGCGGAGACCAAAGTTTAAAGCCATGGATACCACAAGTACAACCTTGGGCACAAAAGGCAAGAGAGTACCCGTGCAATGGCTTATTGTGCAGATGGCCACGTAAAAAAGAAGGTCAATATTTTATATTTTTAGAATACAACCAAATGGGTGCAATAGTGCTGTAGTGATGGGGACTTTTTATACTTGAACTATAGGGCTTGCTGTCAAACCTCATTCGTGATTTTGCAAGCTGGTGTGAACAAACGTATACCCGGGCGAAAAAGGACAGTCATTGGCTGTAATTTCAGGCCTAATCCTGAATGTATAGATGCAAAACGTTTAGTTGGTTTTTTTTTTAGAGCAAAAACGAGTGATACTGAAGCTAGTCAATGTGAATCGAGTGATATTCTAACCCGAACCAGACGGAGGTCAGGAAGGATGGGTTGCATTGCTGACAAAGTGGACTAGAGGTGTTATTGGAATGGCGATACTCAATATATACACTACCTAAAACGTATGAAAAGTGTGTCTATTTATACTTAACAGTGTCGGCATATTGTGTGCAACAAACGTCATATTAGTTACACCTGAGTACATTTTGTTTACAACCAGCTTGCATTGCGACCAAGTTTGACCATGCATTGTCAAAAATGCAAACGATAGGTATAATAGGACGATTGTTGCATATTTTGTTGAAGGTAACTGTACGTATTATTTACGGATATGTGTGTGGGGCACTATATTATTTACAGGCTAGGCAAGCAAGGGGATATTGTAGCTGTGTGGGCACGGCGCTTCCGTGGCAATTCGCAAGTAAAGTACACCGGGTACCTGACACTTAAGCTGTACGGGAGCGGCCGCTCACTCATTCCGGGAAGAAGTATACAACATTGGTCAAGGCTAGTACCCGGGCAGCCCTAATTCTGAATTTATAGGTGCAAAACATATGGTTTATTTTTAGCAAACATGAGTGATACTGAAGCTAGTCAGAGTGAATCGAGCGATATTCAAGAGAACACATCACCAGTCAGGTCACCCGAACCGGACGCAGGTCATCGGGGTGGATGGGTTTCATTGTTGACAATGTGGACTAGAGGTGTTACTCGAATGGCGATACTCAAGGGACTAGGAATGATGCTACCGACACTACAAGATCAGTTTGGGACAACGACGTGGGTCATTGGTTGGATGACGTCACTCATGGTCGGCATGGGAGGTCTTGTTGGTAACTTGATGTATTTTTCCTTGGGAATCAGGGTGACGCTTTCAGTGGTTTCTTTGATGATTTAGGCTTCAAAACAGTTACTGCTACACTGTATTTGTCTTCAGTAGAATCTTGGTGTTTTTACCTTCGAAACTACTTTACCAAGAGAACCTTGTAAACAACTTCAGGCGTTTATAAAATACGTCGGCGAATGGCAAAAACCTACTTGCACAGTATAAAACTTATTATCTCTTCCATGCATCTTATAAAATGTTTGGTTGCGGTACCCACTGCTTCATCAGACTCGAACCGGCCACTCAACCCAATCTTTCCACTCGACTCAATCAGTGTAAGACGTCTGGATCTTTTCTGATTTTACCTTTCTGATTTTACCTTTTTTTTGCTAATCGTATACTTTTTTCGAGGTTACTTTTTCGTTCAAGACTATTTCCTTTCGTGGTAACGGTTGCCCACTAAATCTCCCCAGACTTTAAACCATAAAATTAGTCTTTGTCTCATAGCCGCCTTAAAATGGTATTTTTCTCACCTTCAGATACAAAAGTCACCTTGTTTTCTTTGGTGACCTGAAACTACTGTCATGATGCGGAAACTATTTTCCATGTCACAGCGCCCTCATTTCCTCAAAATATGACTTACTCTGTCTTTAAATGAATACCTACGTCATACTGCTTTCTTGACAGCTCCTTTGGCAGGTTTTCTTGGTAGACGATTTGGATCAGGAAATGTTATCATGGTATGCGGTACGATGATTGGCATTGCTTTCATTGCTGCATCCTTTGCATCAAGAGCGACTCAACTGTCGTTTATTCTAATACTTTTAGCAGGTAAAAAAAAAACAGAACTATTTTTGCTTCGATACAATAAAGGGTAATCAAATTTCAACATTTTTATTGTAAAGAAATCTCAAAATCTGCCGTATTTTTTTTTTTTTTTTTAATTTGAATAGGTTCGTCACTACGAGTGCCTGTAGTGCTTGCTAAAGAGGCTATTGGCCGATGCTATAACAAGAGCCTTGCAAAGGCTACCGGTATCGCGCGGACGGGTACTTCCATTGGACTGGTCGTGGCTGCGCCTCTCATCCAGATATCCCTCGACAAGTACGGGTGGAGGGGAACCATGCTGCTGATAGGCGGTATATCAATGCATCTTATCCCTTGTGGTGCCCTCATGAGGAAAATTAGAACAACACCGAGCAACAGTTATCGGGAACTTCCACAGAACGAGCCAGTCTCGGAAGATATATCTTCTCCCTCCACATGTGCCTCATTTTGGATGACAGTCCCCCAAAACTTTGATTTGTCCCTGCTTCGAAGTTTTCAGTATTGGTCAATAGCTATCGTATACGTTTGTTTCAGTTTTGCTTACGACATGTGGCTGATCTATTTTGTGTCACAAGCCCAATCAAAGGGGTTTTCCTTAGAGGACGCAGCAGTTTTCGTCACCGTAGCGGGCGTGGGGAACCTGCTAGCCAAACTGTTGCAGGGCTTCATCATAGACGCAGGGATACTACCCTGCTGGAGCCTAATGGTCATGTGCAGTATCGTTACCTCGTTTGCGTTCTTTGTAACGCCTTGGCTGGCAGGGTATTGGACAATGATGTTGACGGCATCGCTGGTGGTCATTTGCGATGGTCTCCTGTCCTGTCTGCATGATATCCTCACCAAGCAGGTACTTGGAGTAGAGTTACTGGCTGATGCCTATGGATGGATGGAAATCAAAGCTACTGTGATGAGGTTCACCTTAGGCTTCATTCCTGGTAAATAAATAAACAAATGTGTCGATGAACCAACTGTAGTCTGCCATATCCCAACTGTAGCAATAAATATTGTCCACAGAATATAGTTGGGACCACCCCATCTGATACAAAATGTCGAGTCTTTTCCAAGAGTAGCTTAACTCAATCATTTAGTTATCAAGATTTACTCTCCGGTCGCTGTTGTTATTTTGGGTACAAAAGATGGAGACAAAACAAACCTTCAGTACACATTTTGAGGAAGTAGTTTTCTTATAAAACCTGAGTGACCGTTTAGCGTTTTTCTGTGTTGATATTTCATTTGGTTTGAAGGCACCTCCACTTTCTTTCCTTTCGATAGATGCTGGACGTTTCTCAGTAACTCATTTTCTTTTCATATTTATTTGTTCTGTGCTTTCCCAGGTTGGATTTACGACACATCTGGAAGTTACAACGCTGCATTCGTTTTCTTAGGCTGTGTGCAGGTTGCCCCTGTGATCCCGCTGGTTGCTCTCAAATACTTCCGATGCGTCAAATGAGTGCTTCAGCTGTTCCGTATGACTTTCCGTCATACTCCAAGATACTTTCGTCCTAACTGACATGGTCATCAACCTTATTGTACGTATGTAAAGTGGTTGTTAGCCAGTTATTAACCAGCCTTATAAGGATTTGAAAGCCTCTTGAGTTTATGGAAAACAATTTTTGATAGACCGTTGGCCATGTAATGTCATGCTGACAGGCAACTGCAAGGAGACTTTTGCATGCCGATTGGTCATGTATATTTGTTCTTGTGCACTCATAACATGTATGTCTAAACGTAATCTTATTTAATCTCATGATTGGCATAGATTGGCACGTTATTAGATTACAATAGTGTATTGGAGGGTAATGTTAAACCTAGAAAAACAATCCGAGCTTTTTTTTTAATATATATACTGAGCAGTGTTGAGGGCATGGTATAGATTTAGAGTTCAATAGGGTTAGCTGGTTGTAGAGTGCGGTATTATCAACATTATTAAAATAGAATTGTATTCATTCCAGTCCAAGTAAGGAGACGAATGGGACACTTCAAGTTTGCAATGGTAAATGTTGTGAAATGTGTGTTTATTACAAAAACGGCAAATTAAAAGAGCTACACATTATGAGTATTAATGACGTTGCATGTATTATTAAAACGGTAGTACTTTGATGTAATGGAGTTAGTAGATGGGAAAGGACAAAGAGTATATTACGCAGTTTTCAGTTGAGAGCAATTGGGTAAATATTTTTTTTTTCCCCCTAAGGGGAAACTTATTTATTCAGAAGAAACGTTTCTCTTGCGTTTTACAATAAGTATAAACAAATAATATATTAATCATTACATACAAGAGAGAATGGATCCCATTTCGCATTAAATTTAGCAAGTTCACCATTTGTAGTAAATATAATTTTTTCTAATACATAGTATCGTTTTAGCTCATTCTTAAATACTAAAAGAGACGGTTTGCTACCATTCATCTTCATTTTGTAAATGTGGTAACGGCATAGGAGAAGACATAAATTAAGGGCGCTCCAGTTTTTGTTAAGTATGCCAAATAAAATCATCTCGTTATCTACAAACACATTAATATTCAAAGTCTCCTTAATCCAATCACTAATTTGAGTCCAGAACGATAAAGAAATCTCACAAGTGCAAAATAAGTGAATCGGAGTTTCCTTTTCTACATGACAGAAGGAACACAAGTCGTTCTCCCTTTACCGATCTTTACCAAATAAGAATTGACGCCCAGGATTCTATGGACCAATCTGAAAACCGACCATTTAGTGGCAGGGAAATTGATACTCAATTTTGTTTCCCATTTACCAATGAACTTACTCGCAACCTTTTTCCCTGAAGTAAAAATATGACAAATACGGGTAGAACCTTTTTTATCTGACAAAAGTATCTCAAAATTAAATGGGATAAAAGGAAAGCAAATATTTGACTTAACCCCTTTAAGTAACTCACGAAAAGAATTTTTGACGGCCTTGACAACTCCACCATACTCTAGAAAGTTAGTCCTAATACTGAATTTTAACATAAAGCGTTCCAAGCTCAAAAAAACACCTTTATCGTCAAGTAGGTCAGACACAAAGTTTGCCCCTTTGTTTGCCCAGTGTTTGTAAAAAAAATGCAATTGTTCCCAATCGTAATTCTGTGGTTCTTCCACAAAACATTGCTAAGAGGATCATTCTGATTAACTGGCACATGGCATTGCACAAAAGAACTTCAAGCATTGAGAACGTCAATCCAAAACTGGTTAGGGTGAGCTGTCCTCTTAAGTGAATGAACAATACTAGAATGACCGCCTTCCACAAAAAGCACATTCTCAATTTCAGTAATCTTATAAAACAGATTGGGCAAAGCTGAGTCCTTAGTGTTCAATAATCTACGGATCCAAGTACACTTAAGAGCACTGATGTAGGATCGCGAATCAATCATCTTAACTCCCCCGTGACCATAATTCTGAATCATATCTGATTCCTGGCAACTCTATCGCCACCTTTCCAGATAAATTTATACAACATAACATTTAGATTCTTAATTAAATACAATGGTGGGTCAGGGAGTGACAAAATAAGGAAAGTAAATTTGGATAAAATAAGCGACTTCACTATGGTAACACGGCCAAGAACGATTAAATTTCTTCTAGACCACTGATCAATTAAACTACATCAAGTAGAATCAAAAACTCTGATATAATTCACAGTCGTCATATTATCAAGGTTGGTGGAAAAATCAATACCAAGTGCCCTAAAATGATCTTGAGGACCAACCCACTTCACATTAATATGATCGCATAGACCTTTCTGTCGACCCTTATTTCCACCAATCCACACCGCATTGGTTTTTTCCATATTTACTTTAAGACCAGAAATGCTGGCAAAATCGCCCAAAATCTTGAAGGCTCTATCAAAAGAACGCTCTGAACCGTCTAAAATTAATACTGTATCATCAGCATACTGAGAAAGTCTATATTCTCTGCCATCTACCTGAATTCCCCTTAAAATCTTATCACAACGAACCATCATGCCCATAATTTCGGCGCACTAAAGAAACAAATAAGGGCTCAAACCATCACCTTGTCGACAGCCACGCCCTATTTTAAATGATTCCGATAAGAATCCATTTACTAACACCGAAGCTGTCGCTCCACTGTAAAAAACCCGAAACCATTTCTGTATAGAAGGACCAAAATTAAACTGGTTCAAAATTTTGAGTAAAAAAACATGCGAAACAGAATCAAAAGCTTTCTCAAAGTCAATCAATAAAAACATACCAGGAATCTTATGTTTTTCTGTATAATTAAGCAAATCATACATTAAACGAATATTCTCACCAATATAACGCCCTTGCAAGAAACCCTTTTGATTTTCATGAATAAGAGAGGAGAGGCATGTTTTAAGTCTCTCTGCTATACATCCAGAAGCTAATTTGTACGAAGTGTTTAATAGTGAGATCGGTCTCCAGTTCTTTAAAAATTGACGAGGTTTATCCCCTTTAGGCAACGAAGTAATAATACCGTACTGCTGAGTAACAGAAAGTTCACCGGTTTCATAACCAAAATTGAGGGACCATAATAAATACCACGATAAATCGTTGAAAAAAACCTTGTAAAATTCAAAACTAAAACCATCTGAGCCAGGGGACTTGCCATTTTTTGTGTTCTTCAAAACATTTAATATTTCTCGATGGGACAGGGGGCCCTCTATGCTATCACGTACCATATTTGAAAGAACTGGAGAGTCAGAATTCTCAAAAATAGATTGTAAATTAACTGTTGTTTCCCCTTCTGAAGACGAGTACAGTTTTTTATAAAAATAACGTGCCTCTTGTATAATATCCCTAGAGGATTTTAATTCGGTACCATCATCATTCATAACACGATTAAAAGTCTTGTTAATACAATTACGTTTCTCCATATTAAGGAAGTATTTGGATGGTTTTTCACCGTGTTCCATCCACCTTGTTCTAGATCTAATCATTACACCATCCAATTTAGTCTTACGAAGATTAACAAGGCTAGTTTGTTTAGACTTCAATGTACCCAACAGACTATCATCACCTTGAGCAACCTTATTAGACAAATCTTTAATTTCGTTTTCGAGACGAGATTCATCTCTGCAAGCACTCTTTTTCTTCCAGGCTGCAAAAGAAATTGTTTTAGTTCTAATCGCCATTAATAGCATTTCAAAAAAAGTTGATCATTAATAATAAAATGAATATCTCTGGGGTGAATGGTGTGTAAATTCGAGCGTAAATAAGGCAAAGCTGCGTAAGTTTCTACAACATCAGTAATAACTTTTTTCACCTGGTCAACATAAGTTTTATCTGCAAGAAGCGAATTGTTAAATTTCCAATAACCTGGTCCCCTCTCGATCTGATTGAAATCGAAACAAATATCAACCAAGGAATGGTCTGTCCGATAACCTGGCTCAATTTCAGATGAAACAAAATTGGAACTAAGTTCAGAAGATATTAAAAAGAAATCCAGCCTAGACTGTTTCAGTGTAGAATGCTGTCTCCAAGTATATCTCCTGCAGTTTGGGTTTTGAATACGCCACGGGTCAATAAGGTCGAGGTCCCTACAAAGACCCAACACCCTGTTTCTTGCTAAAGGATTGTTGACATGAAGATAATTATCACAGTCTAAATTACCGTCTAAAACTAAATTCCAGTCGCAACAAATAATTGTGTGAGGGTTATCAAACTCAGAAATAATATTATTAATATTCTCGTAGAAATCTGGATCATCCCTGTTTGGACCATATAAATTAATCAGCGTAATATTATGATTATGTGTTTCCAAACTAAGACTAAGAGCCAAAAAATTTCCGTTTACATCAATATTGGAACCAAGAATTTTAAACTCGAACGTATTGTTAAAAAGAATAGCCACGCCTCTGGCATTACTTTTATAAGAAGAGAAGTAACAGTCCAGCCCCCACTCAGCCCTTAACCTGTCTTGCATGGAGTCTGAACAATGGATGTCTTGCAGACAATAGATGGAATACTGCTTAGACCTAAAAAAAAAAATGCAAGACATCTCTCCTTTTGGAGTGGTCGGCTAGGCCACGACAATTCATTGAAGCAATGGACAAGTTACGTAAGCGAACTGTGTTAGAACGGTGGGAGCTAGACATTCCTTACATATTCAAATAACACAAAAGGATGGGCGTTGGCCCGATGTATAACCCGGTACAAAATGGCGACTTAAATGAAGACCATAATATTTCACAGTGACAAAGCTGGACACTGATACGCAATGAAAGGACATTAATAAGCAATGAAAAACACTATAATACAAATCGAACCATGGTAATGAATTCCTCTCCACACAAGAGAAGGTAAAACTTCACTACATGTACATTACACAAGTTCTAGCCCCATAAATGTGGCCTATTTACTGGACTGCCTCCGTAAACATAGGCCACACATCCACATGTACAAAAATCGTGTCGACTTTGCCAAATTAAGATTTTCACATTAAGGCTTAGTTTGTAGGTTTTTTTTGCTTTAGAAGCATACTCACCCTCTTTATAGGCTAATCAGAAAGTGCTGCCTTTTTCAGATGTATATTTTTCGTGAAATTTCCAGATTCATTTTTACACGTTTGCGTATCAAAATTTCAACATGAAATTTCACAAAAATTAGACATCTGAAAAAGGCAGCACTTTCTGACTAGCCTATAAAGTGGGTGAGTATGCTTCTAAAGCAAAAAAATCCTACAAACTAAGCCTAAATGTGAAAATCAAAATTTGGCAAAGTCGACACGATTTTTGTACATGTGGACGTGTGGCCTATGTTTACGGAGGCAGTCCAGTAAATAGGCCACATTTATGGGGCTACACAAGTTCATGACCCCGAGTTTTATGCATAGTTTAGTAAACCCAAAGGAAACCCACCTAATACACATAATTGCTGCACCAAAAAACCCCCAGAGTTAACCACCTCAAACCTAATTTTATCCCAAACCCGACAAACAAGAAAACAGATCCGAAAAATAAAACTCACTACTTTAGGTCGACGAGTTTACCCGCAGTTATTTGTTACTCTCTGGAAGGACAAATGACCTTACATTTCCACACAGGGTCTCACTTTTAAAGATTATAAAAAATAAAACAGCTGAATTACCCCCAAAACAAAAGAGCTAGATATGACATGAATATGAACCCACAAAGTGGGTTGAGCTCAGTTACTCATCACGAAACGTGAAGACTTGTCCGTTGCCCGATCTCCACCGACCAGCAAAGAATCGCAACTTGGTTCCTTGATCGTACAAAGCCTTTACCTCAGTTTTCCAGCGCCTCTTTTCTTGCCAGTCTTCAGCAGTTAGATCATCAACGATGAAGAGCTGGGACCCCTCCAAGGCACGGCGGCGTTCCTTCATAACTTTCACTTTGTCTTGGTAGGATAGTAGTTTGACCAAGATGTGAGCGGGCCAGCCATTTTGGTCTTGCCCGTCGCGGTGGGCGCGCTCAATTCGCGGGGGATTTGTAGCCAAGCCGAACTTGGTCTTGAAAATATTCTCGATCTTCTCGGAACACGTTTCGTTGACCGACCTGGGTACTCCAACTACTCGAAGGTTGTTTCTTCTGGCGAATCTCTCCTGCTTGTTGAGGTCCACTCGCATCTTAGTAAGCTGCTCTTTCACCGCCACTAGCTCAGACTTCGGGGAACCGACGGACTTTTCGAGGCCCCCCTGGCCT